GGTGGTGCCGTATGGTGTCGCCCCTTTTTTTGCTTGTCTAGTCAGGTGTGTCCCTTTAAAAAAGTCAGTCAAATCAGGTGTGTCGCTTTAGAATCGCCTTTCATTGGGACACGCCCACTCGTCCGCAGAGACCCCTACTTGGCTTAAAGACACGTCCCAGAGGCGTTTCTGGTACCAAAAGGCATTTCTGGTCCCCACTTGTCATTTTGCTCCTCAGCATGGCTGCCTAAAAACACTGCAGGATTTCTCAAACATGCATGAATGAGTCAAAGCAAGGCTTTGGGCATGTTTTTTATGAGAGTATAACATTATAACATGATATAAAACTCAAAAAAGTTGATTCTACATTATTTTACCCCTTTAAACATGCAACAGGGTCATCATTATTTGGCACAATGACATGTGTTACAATTGAAAATAAATCAATAAACAATATAAAAATAAAAAGCACCCCTAAAGTCATTGGATATGATAAATTGTGACTAATTAACCTTATCTCAGCCWCAGCAGTGAGTTTAAAAACAGGATGATGGAACTAGTTTAATGAAAAATCTGTCTCTGAAGTAATTAAATCAAGTGTTAATTTAAGTAGGTAAAAGTATGTTTAACAACTTGATAAAATACACCAGAATGCAGGAAATGGCATCTATTTCATCCAAAATTTTCTGGGGGATGACCCCCAGACCCCCCAACAGTGTGTCCCCACACTTTTAAAATGGTTCTGATGCCTTTGTTTATAAGATAGTCACTGCCTGTATAAGGACATGAGGAAATGACAAAAACACAAAGATCTGCAGAAAACTTTCAGATAAAAAAAAACATGTAATTTTCCTGGCCACCCCTGTATGAGTAGTGGTCCCAGTCTGGCCACGCCTGAGAAAAATGTCTGGCTCTGCCACTGGTTGTGTTAGTAATAAACAACTATATTTCCACACACTTCTTTGCTTTTTAAATGTTTTCTAAAGTTGTCAGTGGCAATCTTTACAACCGAAGAGCTGAAAATGACCCGTTTATTCCCCAAACATATCTGATTAAAAAATACCTTCAAACAACACGACTGAAGTTTTCTTCAAAAGCCTTTTTTTCTAATTAATGTATTTTCAGAAAACAACAGAAAACTCTTCTGAAAGTCTCCTCTGTGCATGGTTTGGATCCATCCGTCCATCTGTCTAAGTCTATGTTTGTGTGTTTGGATTCAAAACTCAAGGTTGTTGAAGTYGAGGCAAGCAGCTGGCAAACGTCCTCCAACACCTGGCCGAGGCAAATTGTTTTCAGGGCCAGAGCTGCCTCGCAAAAGGGCAGAATCAATTATTTCTGTGGATGTTTATGTAACGCTGGAGGTGCAGGCTCTCTCTGGTGGTGGTGGGGCAAGCATTAGGAGGACTCAGTGTTAAGCTGTGAGGAAAAACAGATTTCTATTTAGTTCAGGCTCCAGGAAAATCAAACTTAAATCTCTGAAGGAATCACTCAGAATGAAACCCAAAGCTGCTGTATCCTTATAGTGTTTAGTGAGGGTCTCTGAGTTTGTTATAAAAGCAAATTGTTTGTACAGCCAACAGTATCCATCTTGATTACCTTTAATATTATCAATTAACCTTCATCTAATCAATTTTAATAATCTGCCTGCTCACTTACTGATGGTGCTGGGAAATCAATGTGGAAGAGCACTTCATTCACTAAACTCAAACTCAAATGTCTGAAACCATGTTTGATGATCAGTTATAAGATGCATCATTCTAACCACATGTTGTGCTTTCTCTGTAAATCACTGAAGAGCCTTGCTCAGATAACTGAAGACATAACATTTGCATTGTACCGCTGGTTGTGCATGAGCTTTTTATTATTCAGATTCAAAAGTTATTTTTATTACCTGCAGCTGAAGATGAAGTTAGTGATAATGTGTGTTTGTGTAAGTTTTTGTTACCTTGTGGGTACAACGTCTGACCATTTTCCCAGTATATACATTCTTGTGAAGGACCTACTGTMGGATTAAGGTGTAAATTGAGCTTAGGCTAGGTTTAGGGGTCAGGGTCAGGCTATAGAAATGACCAGAAAATGAAAAGAAGTCAATACAAAGTCCCCATGAGAATAGAAGAACAAACATGTGTGTGTGTGAGTTCATTTGTACTGTTAGCAAAATGTCTCATGACTGAATCACTGGACGAACTCTCACGTCTGCAGCTGATTAACACATTAAAGATGATGATCATTAAATGATCATTAAAGATGGCCGCCACAGACAGCTGACTTAAAAAAACACTATATGGGAACAAATCTGTCGCTTTTAAATATAGTATTAAGCTCTGATTTAGTGTGGTACTAGCTGAAAGTCATCCTCATATATTTCAAGCACTGCACATTGCATAAAACTTCTGAAACATTATTTGGTCTTAACTGTTGTAGTAAAACTTGTTTGTCTGTTAGCAAATTATCTTGTGTACCACTGGACTGATTTGAATGAAACTATTAGAAATGTATCATTTGACATTCCTATAGAGCTAATTAACTTTCGGAGTGAATCTAACTCAAGCTAGCAGCTACAGCTAATCGATGTTAGACAACACAAAAAATATGCTAACTCAGTCATCTTTGCCGATACTGAGCTAAAATTTGATGTGGTGGTAGCTGAGAGTCATTTATAACACATATTCTGAGCATAAGATCTTTTAGAATTGAATGTGAGCATAATATTATTTTCTAATTTTGACCAATATTAAACTGATGGTGACTGATATTTTACTGAGTTCATCTAAGTGGGTTTGTATGTCTTYAGATGTACCAGCATGGCAGAGACCTCTGTGAGAGCCTGTGGGGTGACGCCTTCATGACGGTGGAGGATGACCCCCAGGAGGTGATGGAAGCCGGAGACTCAGGGGCAGAGGGTCGCCCCTGTGGCTGCCTGACCCTCAGTCCCTCAGACAAGGACGTGATCGCCGCCCTCAGGGCCCAGCAGGACGACCCGGAGGAACTGGATACCACCAAGACGGGCTTGCCACAGTACCGGGCCCCCTGCAAGGCCAAGCTGCCCGAGCGGGCCAAGAGCGGCAGGAAGGGCAACTCGGTGCTGCGCAAGCGCTCGGTGGAGATCGAGGACGTGGAGGGGAGTGGGAGCGGACTGTAGATGGTAGCTGGATGTGTGTTTAGAGATGAGTAGTTCCTGATGCACAATGTTAAAACTGTGCTGTAATCGTTTTCTTCTGACTCGACCTAACAAACTTGTTTTCTTCATCACATTTTTTTTATTTTATTTACTTTATTTTTATTTAACCTTTATTTTACCAGGCAAAACATTAAGAATAACTTCTTATTTACAATGTCAGCCTGGCAAAATAAAGGTTAAATTTAAAAACAAAAAAACATTTTTTTTGGTCTGAATGATCTGAAACTATATTTATCTGCTGTAAGTGAGACTGATGAGCTTCACAGTGAAACCACATATCAAATGTTTGAACAGTGAGAAAAGTTATAAATGATTTAAAGGTTCAAATCAACTCAACATAAAATAATAAAACACATGTCTTACATGAGGTAAAACCCTGTTGTGTTAGCATGTCAGAGTAGATCCAACACGTCAACCTCGAAGAGATATTTCAACTATTTTAAGTGAAACTCGGTGGAAAGTGTATGAATAGCAAATATCTTACCTGTCGTAGATAGCACTTTGAAACAACCTCAGTTTGGAGAAATAGTTTTAATGTGTCTGGATTGATGAGCTAATGCAGCTAAGACTGAGGTGGCCATCTTTTAACAATTCCCGTCTCTAAATCTCATAGTGATTCATACTAACTTACCAATCTTTACATGGTCGTGAAGTTCACATTACACATGTATTCACTTAGAATCTTATAGTTATTTGCAAAAGCAAGTCCTTGCAGCAGCAGCTAACTGTAACACTGGATGTAACACCTCCTCCGAGGCCTGACGCCAACTTCATCATTTACTTTGGAGAAAAAACAACTAAATCAGAATTTCATAGGGATTTATTCAAATGATTATATTTAAACATTTACACTGCTATCAGATTTTATATCTAACATGTTTATTTTGTGCTACAGCTAGTTGTTACTACCAGTGTTTGATGTGTAAATCACTATACTGTATATTCTAAGAAAATAACTGTTTCATGAGAAATTGACAACAGATGGTTCTGACAAGATTGGAGTTGTTTCAAGATGGCAGAAATCCATTTCGGCTTGTAAGTGTCAAGGCTAATGGTTAGTTTGAAAACCAAGCACAGACAAGCTTGAAGAGACTCAGTAAAAAAGCAAAAAGACTTTTATCGAAATAAGTAACGAAAACTATTTACAAAAACGTCAATGAGGGAACATTGGGAGGAACACAGGCACACAGTTCAGCCCTGATATTACACAGGAGGAACCTTAACGAACACAAACCACTGACAGCTGTGAAAGAGACCACTGGGAACAGGTGAGAGTAGGAGGACCAGAACAGAAATCAGGAAGTTGTTACACAAAGACACACTGGGGAAATATAGAAACACAAGAAATAAAACATAGGAAAGAAACAAAGCCAAACCTTTACAGTTAGCTTGTCAGTCTGTACAGAATTCAACTATTTTCAATCTGAGGTCATTCGGCGAGTTATCTACAACAGGTAAGACTTTACTGCTGATAACCTTTCCACAGAACCCCACTTAAAAATGGATGATTCTTTTAATTCTAAGAAAAATTTCTAAACATCCACGTCTGCCCCTGACCCTCAGCTCCTGACTCTCTTCTTGTTGTTAGTCTTGTTCAATGACTGTGATGATGTTCGGTCTGCTTGTTGTTCAGTAGTCACACTGTGTAGTCGTAACAATGAATGTCACACAGATGTTTCCGACAGACAACTGGCCTGAATCTGAGCCATCCGGTCCAGTCCGGTCCGGTTCGGTCCGATCCGGTAATGAGTTTAATTCTTGCGTGAAGGCTGAACCTCCAGGTTTACTGGGATAAATCCACACAGGCAGCGGGTCGGGTCATGTATGGCTCCTTCATCAGTTTCTTTTATAACTGTGTCATTTTGTAGAATGATGAGTTACACTGTTAGATGTAAATGTTTTGTACAAAAGGAAAGATAAAAAACACAAGGATAAAAACTGATTTGTCTGATTGTATGATAAGTTTACTGGAATAAAGACAATATTCTTAATGTCACTTCGGCTCTTTTCATGTAAATCCACCAAAATAATGGAAAGTTTTTTAGTTACAACTTTGTAACCTGATAACGTTTTGTTTTATTACGTTTTCGTTATTTGAAATTTTACATGCAGGTTTTTTCAATCTAACTATTTCTTCATACTTTGTACTATTTTAGTCATTCAGTAAAGGACTTTTGGTTTTTGTAACTTTTGTAATCTTTATTTACAAAATTTTTCCCAATATACAGTGTGGTCTCCTCAGTTCAGAAATATTCAGTTTCACCGTGTCTGCGTTCATGTCTTCATGTTCTACTTTTAGTTTAGAATTGTTAGAAATACAGTGTGTACACGCCAAAAAGAAGCTTCCTGTTGATTTTTTGATTCTATCTTCACCATAGATGTCTTTAAATTTTTCACAAGTTGTCTAAAACTTCATAGTGTGACACGACTTTTAGCATAGTTTGAGCTTTCTCAGCATATTTCAGCAGTCATTCTGTGCTCAGCTTTCACACAAGATTATCACAGAAATTAAAACTTTTCTAGTTTATTTTATCTTTTTCATAAACAGTGATTCAGCAGCATTATCTTTTAGAATGTAAATTCACTGTGTGACTTTAGAATTCAGAATCCCACTCGTTCAATCTTATAATTTATTATGTCAGGATAATCCAGAAAAAAAATCTCATTTGCACCATCTTAAAATGAAATAAAAATAACCTAACATGAACAGCAGGATGTACTGTATTACAAACAGCTAAATAAAGAAACTCTGTGTAAACTCTTTAATAAACTCTTTAATAAACTCTTTAATAAACTCTTTAATAAACTCTTTAATAAACTCGTTGATTCTCTAACAGAACCTGATAGAAACATTTTCTCTGCAACTTTTTTAGCCTTCCCTTTTGTTTAATTTATTATTATTATTATTATCATTATTATTATTATCGTTATTGCCAAATTCACTTCCTCTGTCATCATTCATGAAAACTTTTTCCTGAAGATTTATTGCAACATTTCAGTAAAGTTAAAGTTTAAGATAAAAACATGCACGTTAGGCTGCCTTCATTCAGGCCTCACTTGTAAAAGAATATCTGTGATATCAACGTGATTTGCCTGGTTAAATAAAAAAAATTTTCTGTTTTTTTTCCAAATTGAAGTAGTTTAAAGAGCTATCAACAACAGATAAGATACTGAATGTTCAGAACTTTGCCACACAGTTCCACTTCAAGAGATTTAAACACACTGAGCAAATAATTGTGTTGTTTACCTTTAAWTAATGAATCTTTTCATGTAAATGTGAGTGATGTGCTTGAATTAAAGCATTAGAAAAATTTGTCTGTCRGCAAAATATTTTATGAACCGCTGGATGGATCTTGGATAAATTTAAGAGTCACTGTTAAGATGTCTGCTTTGCACAACAGTAGCAGCAATTACTAAAACTCAGTCATTTTTTTCAGATACTGAGCAAACATTTTTATGGTAGTAGCTGAGCCTCATCCTCATCACATACAGTACTTTGACTGCAAACATTTCACATAATATTATCTTGAAACTTTGACATGAATTGTGGCTTTAGGAATCTCAGTTAATTTTAAATTAAAGGCACCCTTTAATGATCAGAAGTTCTTAATTTTTTTTTATCATTAAAGAATTCAACATCCAGTCTTTAAACTTTTTTTCTTCAAAATTTGTCATCCTGCTTAGAAATGCTGCTGTGAACTCCTCTCATCACATCTCCTCCTGCTGAGCAGAGCCCTGAGTGGTATCTCTCCTCATRGATCAGAAAACTGCAGATCCTCCTTTATATTCTTCCTGTTCGCTCCCACAACTACTGGCTGCATTCAAATGCTGTACATCACTAAAAAAAAACACTTTTATCTAAAAACTGGAAGCTTTGTCTTATAATTTTCTAACTGAAAAAAACCCTCTTTTAATCAAATTTATGTCTGTTACACCTTCACCATGTCTGGGGAATTATTCATCTGCAGTTTTGGTGTTAAAAGCTTTTCCGTATATTAATGATTGTTTTAAGAATATCACTGCTTTTAAAACCTAATTTTCAAGTACATCATGACAAGTTCYTCCTCCCACCTACACAACTGTCACTCACATCGTCCCAATTGGGMGAGGCATCCATATGTTCACATCTGATTGTGAGGAAACGTTCAGYAAGAATGTCCACATAAATGAAGACTGGAGAGTTATTAAATGAGCAAATGAAAAGCACTGATGCATCTTTATAATTCTGTTCACAATCCTTGTTCTTTTTCCATTTTGAAACAAAAAAAAGTTAATTTTTCATCAAAACATGGTTTGACTGGGAACAGAAGAACTTCTGGTAGTGATTCATCAAACAACGGGYATAAAAATGTGCAAGAAACTGTCAAAAATATGATAAAATGAAGAGGAAAACCAAACCTCAGATATACTTTACATCTGTCACATCATTCAAAAAACTTGGAACAATTTAAACCAGGGCTTCCCAAACATTCCCATGCTGTGGCCCCCCAAACAGCTTTAGTTTGCAGCCAGGGACCCCCACTTTCAACTCATAAACAATTATGCAAAATATGTAAAAAAAAAAAACTTTTAGAATGTTTTTCCTCACTTTTATTCACTATTTGATAATTATTACATTTGTTTAGCATAGGAATTTACATTTTATTAACAAACTTGTTTTAAACACTGTATTGTTGGGGATCTAGAGTTTGTCAGTTCCAGTATTCATCCACTAGTGTCCTCCTGGAGCACAACCTGCAGGAGGGCAGAATTTCAACTCATAAACAATTATGCAAAATATGTAA